GGCAGCGCGGCCCCCCCCGCCCCTCCCCGCCCGCTCCGCCGGGCTCCCCAGCGGCGGCCGCACGGGAGGGGAAGGACGGGACGGGAAGTGACGCGCGGCGGTGACGCCGGCGCGAGGCGAGGTGATATAAGGGGGCGGGCGGCGGGCGGAAGCGAGCGCGCGGAGCGGAGCGGAGCAGCGCGGCGGGCCGGGGCGGCGGCGCCTCTGCCGGGCAGGGCGGGGAGGGGAAGGGGAAGGGAAGGGAAGGGGCGGCCGCGGGCCCGGAGCCCGCCATGGATTTCCGCAACATCCTCGTGGTGGCCTCGGAGCAGCAGGGGCTCAACGCGGTGCCGGTGAGCGGGCGGGGGCCGGGGGCAGCGCGGGCCCCGCGGCCGTTACGGCCGTTGGGGAGGCGGCGGCCGCGCGGCGGGCCGCGCCGGCGGGCGGCGTTGGGCGCGTTGGGCAGTGCCCACAGCGAGTCAGCGGCCTCGCGTGGGAGCCGCGTTCATCGTAATTTATAGATGTTGCTCGCAGAAACAGCCTGCGCGCGTGGCTGCGGGAAGCYGGCGCAGGAAGGGCCTGTGGCCGTTGGCACCCTGAAATACTGGGCTTGGTGGCTGTGGCAGGGCCTGGACTGCCGTTCAAATGTGCTTATTTGGATAAAAAATACCTTCTGTCCCATAGGCACCAGGTGGGGAAGGGCTCCTGCCTGCCTCGTGACTGGTGTTGGGGTTGTGTGCTTCCGTGATGAGCCCCTTTCCCGCAGTGCAAGCAAGGGAGGTGGTGTCCAGCGGGAATGGCAGGGAGCACGGGAACAGGACGCTCTGCCCTTTGGGCACTGCTGCTCCCGGAGCCCTCGGGAGCTGGGGCTGTCCCAGCGCCTCTGTGCGGCTTTGCTAATGCTCGTGTCGTGACCACTGATAACGTGGGCCAGTCGTAGGGTAGATACACACGGTCCACCAGACTTGAGCCTGCTTTTAAATACCCCTAAGACCTTCTCTTTACTTAGTGTTCTTCTTGGCTCCACATGGAGCCACATATCACATAYATGAACACGTGAAGATACTTAAATGCCCGTTTCTTTGTGACTTGCTTGTACAACAGGTGTTTCCACGAACTGTCCCGGGTGGTTGCAGTCGTCTGTTTCAGGCTGCCTCCTGCCTTGTTGGCTTTCTCRGGGAGTTTTAATTGCTGCAGCACTGGTTAATGTCCCAAAGCCTTGCTCGCCGTGCTGACGAGGCGAGGAAGGAGCCGCCACGTTCTCTCCYGGACGCAATTCCGGGGCAGTCCCGCTGCTCGCGCAGTGCCTGGGGCTCTCCTTACTGTGCTTGGGAAACGCAGAGTTAGGATTTGCTTGATGAGTTAAGACCGCGTTCAGTGCAGGGCTGAGAGYGCCTTGATTACCTGGCTCTGCAGTGCGCTGTGGCCTGACAATGAACTGTGCAGGCCTGGGTGCTTGCACTGTCTGAGCTTGTCTGCAGCCTTCCAAGAGTGTGCACCAAGTTTTTCCTGATACTGGGGTACCTAGGTCACCCCTCCAGGTTAAACCTGCTTTTACCTCTTTTTATTCACAGGCTAACACTGCTTTGTAAGCATATGAGAAGGATATAACTAGTCTTAAAGTATTTTTTAAACTAATTTTAAAATATTTTGATTTAAATACAGTACAACCCCAAAAATACAGTACAGTTAACAAAACCTGGTTGAATTGAGAGTTTTCTGGAAGTTAGTTCCTTTGTTAATCAAAGAATCCACTGATATATCCTTTGTTAATCAATATATCCCTTCAGGAAGTTTTAAGGGCAAGTTTGCAAGGCACCAAGTTAACTATTTCACATGGCGATGAAAGAAAGAGTACGACATGCGTGTGGTTTTTAGGAAAAACCAAAAATTATAGGAAAAAAAGCTATTTAAGAAATAGTGATTTTTGTGACTGCTGTATTGTAAAACTGTGATAGCGTTGCATCATGTCCCTGTAAAATGGACCTGTGTGTTCATCTCCCCATGGAAATCCAGATTGAAAAGGAGCATTGCTTAAAGTAAACCGTTCAATGCAGCATTATTAGGATCACATTTCCTTTCTATAAAGGCCACGTATGAATTTGTGTAAAGGTCTTTAGTGATGTGTGGCTAGCAGTTTTCACAGCAGCTGCTGAGAAGAGCCTCCGTTGCGGGTTCTCCTTGTGCAACATTCTGCAGGGGTTTCGGTGTTATAAATAGCCCTGTAGTTACAGGTGTCCGTGTTCAGCTGTTCACYGGGCCTGGCCTAGGAGCTTGCTTTGGTTAAGCAAGTTCTCAGTTGTGTGAGATTAGGACTGGCTTCAGGAAGACTCAAATCACTGGTATGTTGGTGTTCTTTCTTTTTGTGGAGTTGATATGTATTCTGTTAATCCTGGGAGAGTGTTTTGTGGCATATAAGGCATGTGGTAGGAGACCTTGGCATGGCAGACCTTTAAACTGCAGGCATTTTAGGGAATGCTAGGAGCATAGTTATAAACCAACACACTCCTCTTATCTCACCTTGTGTTTCTTCTGCTGTCAATTCTGCATCAGAAATGGAAATGCCCTTGTGCTGATGGGCAACAGGTCCCTCATACACAGGACCCAGAAAGCAGTGCAGTTAAATCTGAAGCAGAATGGCATTTAGCTGCAAAGAGGTGACCCACAACTGKAACAGCTTGTCGTACACGTCAGCAACTGCGATCTGGTTTCAAGGCGAACTGGTCACGTGTAGTGAGTATAAATCTTTAAGAAAACTGCAGCAACATCGACAGGAAAATGTGGCTGCCAGGACCTCGTTTGTTTCCCTGCTGAGCTTGATCTGTGTTTTGTTTTTAAACTGCAGTTGCTGTATTTGAGAGGTAGCGCCATGGCAAAAACTTACTTGGAGAACCCTACGTGCTCAGAGAGCCTGCCTGTGGAAATGTCATCTGCCCCTCATGAACATTTGCCCATAGGTAGCAGATGCCCTTTGAGMGGAATGTGAAAATGGCTCGGAAGTATGATTTTTATCGTAGATTCCGTACAGAATTGGACCTTTTTCAGTTGGTCTTTGTGCATTTATTATGCCAATGAAACTTGTCTCAAAAGCAGAGCCTAGAAGTGTTCGGTGTGTTATATTAGTATTCATTTGAGGAGCAAAGAAGGATGTACAGTGTGATGGGCTGGCAGGGRCTGGAGAGGATATTTCCTCTCAACTTGCTGGTGTTTGATAGTTAAGCTCCAGACTCTTGCAAACACCGTCTGAAATGTGCAAAACTTTGCTTTCCCGTTCCCAAGCCCCCTCCTTATGCAAGCAGGGGAAAATGGAGACTGCAAGAGCACTACATAAACGAAACAGGGAAATATGTTTTCTTCTGTAAAATGTTGCTTAACAGTGTTTTAAAAAAAACTCTGTGGGTTTTTTGGTTTTTTTGTTTTCCTGATGAATGGTTCAGCTTGGGTGTTGTGACAGTAGCAGTTGCAAACCCTCTATTTTCTTAGTAGCAAAATGCATGACCTTGCTGAATTGTTTTGAGAGCTGGAGAACAGTACGAGGATGTGGTTAAAACACAGTGTTAAGGCACTTGCCTGGCAAGGGCTGTTGTAGCCTGAAGAGAACGAAGCAGATGTGTGTATGTGTTTGGTAACTGCTGCCAACTTGCTGCTGAATTTGGAGGGTAACGACAAGCAGTGGAGAAAGCTTTAGTTGTGTGTGCAGGGTAAGGAAGCCGAACTGCGCAAGGTGAAGTGTCACGGCCCCCAAAATGGGACAGTCAGAGTGACCCCCGCAGTGACAGTGCAGACCCTGGAGGTGCAGGTGGTGCCGGAGGCCCTTGGGCTGCAAGTGCACACGTTCCCTTCCTGGGGACCCCAAAAAGCAGCGAGAAAAGCTGCGTGCGACTGAGGAACCTGTAGTTGTGCCGCCGGAGAGCTGCCCTCTCCTCATCTGCAGGGTGCGAAGGGACCTTCTCGTGGAGCGGAGCCGCGTATCTCCACAAGCAGTGAGGAAACCCCAAGTTCTGCTGAACTTGCCCCGTGTGGGACGGGCTGTGGAAGCTGCCCCAAGCTGACAGCGCACGTGGAGCGGTTAGATGGCACAGACATGTCCACAACAGGGGGGCCTGCAGCACGAGTGTGCTGCTTCAGAGCTGCGTTCTGCAGAGTCTATCACATCAACGATTTGAATTGCTGCATGAGTAAATATTTATTATTAAAGGCAATATCCTTCCCTTCCCTTCCCTTCCCCCCCCGGTCTCTGGATTTAATAGTTTAATTTTTTTGGTCTCAAACCCAGTCTTCGTGGTCCTTTTTGGCTTAATTTGGATGAAAAAAAAATTCCAGTCTCATAAAATCTAGGTTATACAGTCTAACCTTTGGYGCTTAAATATCGGTATCCAACAGCTTCAGCTCTCTGGGATCACATGCCAGCCTTTAGGAAGAAAGGGATGAGGAGAACCCCCAGCTGGGACTGCCTGGGGAACCTGYAACCTGCCAGACCAGTAGGTTCCAGGGAGGTTCTGCTGTTTTATTGGTCTCCATGTAACGCAGTGTGCAGGGCAGTGCCCGCTCTGCGCTGGGACCCYCGTCGGGTCGAACCACCCACCGGGGCAGGTGTTGAGTGTTCACAGGGCAGCAGCGCCTGCTCCGGAGTAGCTTGCCCTGCTCTGCTCCAAAGGCTAAAAGTTTCCCTTGCTCTCCGTATCAATACAAAAAGTCTGATTAGTGCAACGTCTGTTTGGAAAAAAAGTGGTGATAGGCCCCTGCTTCGATTGTTTTACCTGGGATGTGGTGGTGTGTTGATKTGTGGTGGAAGTGAAACACTTGATCTGAGGCTGTAGAGCAAGTGAGAGCTTCAGTGCTCTTAGGACAGGGAAGCTTCAGCTGGTTATTGTATGCTGCTTCCAATGAAGGTGAACAAATGGTGCATCRACGGAGGCGGCGATTCCCAGCACAGGAACTGTGGGGTTTGTCAGTGAAATGTTCAGCAGGTTTTCACCTGGTAATCAATTTACAGGAAAGTTACTGATAGGGAGATTAAATCCCAAATTTGCAGAACTTTGCACATCATTGATGGCACATTTGTGGGGCTGCTTTACAAACCTGTTCCTAGATAGGAGTGTTCAGTGCAGCAAAACAAAGCCCGAAAACTGCTTCCCAATCACTTCAATTCTTTATAAAGCCTCCTGACATGATAGACCTATCTACATTTGTTGTTCAGCCAGTTTTCAAAAGTGCTTCTTAGGCCTAAAATGCTTTTGGAAAAGCCTCCTATTTGTACTTGTTTTCAAATACTATGTTTAGTTTTCTTGGCTAGTGTGGTACACACCCGCTGCCTTGAATTGCTGCAAAGGTGTCTGCTCCTTTCTCTTTAAGGTACCTTTTTCTGAAAGAATATTCACTAAAACGAGGGGCCCGATTTGCCTGCAACACTTCTGATTCAGCCTGAGCTGCCAGGCTGCTCCGGACTCCAGAGTTAAAGGTTCCTGTTTGCCAGAAATCCCCAGGAAAGGTTGCCCTGTGCTTCAGGCTTCACAAGCACTCAGTTCCTGGAATGCACTAGGCTGTAACCAACCAAGATTACAAGGGAGGCCAGGGAGCTCGGCTCCAGCTCCAGGAGCCATCCGGTTCTTCGGACGGCCCCAGCAATTGTGGCCGATCCCRCTCGTTTGGCTTGTGAGTGCCAAGGTCATTGGGAGCAGGAGTGTCCCAGGGTGGTGCTCGGGTACCGGATCCGCGCCCGCGTGGTGCCTGGGTCTCCGGGGAGGAGCTGGCGTGGGAGGGGGCTCGGGTAGAGCGCTGGGGCAGCTCCGCAGCTCYGCGTAGGCTTCTCAGAAGTTGAGCTTAAGGCATCGTGAACAGCGGTGTTGGAGCTGCCCTTCTGGGAGCCAGCCCTGGCTGCACTCCAGCAATGAGCCCCTAAACTTCCCGGCTTAGTACACGTGTGTACAGGAGAATCCGTGGTGTCCTGTGTCACCTACRTGAAAGTAATCCCAGTATCTGTGTAGGTGCTGCTCTTCCAAGGAGTTCAAAATGAGAACTGCGGCTTCCCCTGTGAGGTGTTCAGATCTCTAGGGATTTGTGCTACGGGCCAGTCTGTTTCCACTGCTCGGATGCAGATTCTTGTACCATGCCTTGTCATGTTGTCTTTTTAATGTGAGGGTCAATAAGGCTGTATGAATATAGAAAAGCATTTGTASCATTACTGACTTCTGTGCCATGTAAAAATGTTTTAGTTGGAACCTCAGTTCACAGCTTTAATTTGACGAGGACTCTAACTTACTATGTAGAAGATCTAGTTTTGACTTATAATCTATTATTTTATGATCAATGCCCCCTCGCCAAAATGCAAGAATTTTGAAAATATCAAAGTATTCTTTTTGAATATATATTTCCTTCTGCTTTACGCTTCCTTCTGGATTTAATTGACTCCTTTCTGTATTTTTGGCACTATTTCTTTCTGTGTCTCATGGCTTCATCTTCTGTAGCCTGGTTTTGTGTCAAGAAAACTTTTGTTCGGTTGCTGATATAGTTACTGTGTCCATTCTCAGGCTAGTGCATGTTACTCAGTTTCTTTGGGTTTCCTGCCTATCTCCTGGTTTCCTGCCCGTTCCCTTGCACAGCTGAGCGCCCAGCCAGGCTGTGCGGAGACGCGCTCGGCATGTGGCTCGAGGTGGCTGGCGAGCCCCAAGCTGCTCAGTTTTAAAAGCTCTCTTAAGATTTACAGCTGTAATGTTTCTGACGTGCTTTTTGTTTGTTTGTTGCAGAAAAGATACAGTTTGGCTGTTGGTCCTCCCAAAAAGGTTCCAAAAGTCAAGGGTGTGGAGTCTGCAGCAGTGCAAGCATTTCTCAGACGGAAAGAAGAAGAAAAAAGGAAAAAAGGTATTTACTGAGGTTAACTTTTTCTCCCTTTCTCTGCCTTCGCCTAAACGTCCAATAGTAAGCTCTGAATGATCGTAATTGTCTCAATCAATCCCAAAACTTCCCCCTCTTCAGATATCCCGTGTAAAGTCCTGTACTTGACACAGTAGCACCCCTTAGTTGGCATTATTACGCAGCGTCCCTTCTGTTGAATCACCTTAATGGGTCATGCAGTGAGTTTAATTTTTCATCTTCGGATTTTAGGAGTAGCTGATACAAGTGGATTAGGTGGTTTTGGGTCCCCTGCTCTCTTACCAATCCTCTGATCACTCTCTGGTCATTGTATCTGTTTCAAAAATGTGTTACCTAGATATCCAGAAACTTGCTTCTTAAATGCCTTATCAGTTGGAAGCAACTGGAATGAAGTATAGAGTGCTTTTGGCTAACTTTCTCCTGGTTTTCTTCTACAGCATTGGAAGAAAAAAGAAAGAAGGAAGAACTCCTGGCTAAGCGCATTGAACTGAAACATGACAGAAAGGCCAGGGCTATGGCCTCGCGAACCAAGGACAACTTCTATGGCTATAATGGCATTCCGGTGGAAGAGAAGCCTCGGAAGAGGAGGACTTCTGAGAACGTTGCTCAGGTTGCAGAGGCTGAGTACACAACAGAGGATGAAACTGAGCAGCCTGAGTACAGTCAGACTGAATCGGAGCACGAGCAAGAGGAGTATGAAGAGAAACCAGCCAAAGCTGCAGTGAAACCAAAGGCACCTCCCAAAAGTGCACCAGCACCTCTGAACTTCACGGATCTTCTAAGGCTTGCTGAAAAAAAACAGTATGAACCAGTGGAAATCAAAGTAGTGAAGAAGATAGAGGAGAGACCCAGGACAGCAGAGGAATTGAGAGAGAGGGAATACTTGGAGCGCAAACACAAAAGACCAGAAATGCAGAAAGACAAAAGGAAAAGTGAGAAAGAGATTAGGAACCCAGGTGTATCCAGTTCTTCAAAAAAAGTGACTGCTCAGAAAGAATCTATAAATGCAAAACTTGGCAAAAGCTCCTTGGATAAACATTCCTCTCTAAAAGGCAGTSTGTCCTCTGTGAGCAGTGGTGATAAGAAAGCCAAAGCACCAGCACTGACTGAAAAACACTCGCGGTTGTCGTCCTCTTCCAAACTCAGTCACACAGAGAAAGTTAAAACCTCACAAAACGGCTCCTTAAAAAGCTCAGCTGGCAGCACTCAGAGCAAGTCATCCCTCAACGGTGCAGGGAAGCCGGGCTCGGGCACCCACRCGCCCCCCTCGAAAGCAGCGGCCCACGGGGCTCAGCGGCTGCCCGCCGCCAAAGAAGCGGCGCCGAAGAAAGCGGCGCCGGCCAAGCCGGGCGCTGCCGCGCTGCGGCACGACGCGAGCGCYGGCGCCAAGCGCGCGGGCAGCAGCCTGGGCAAGGGAGGGCCCGGCCACCCAGGCAGCGGCCCCTC